TGTTTTTTCACTCTCGCAGTAGTTAAAGGTCCATCCTCAGGATTATAATTTAGCTCTCAATCTTTGAGGGCTATGAGCAAATTTGGAAACTAAACATCCCCAGAACTTTCATTTAATTAGGAGGCAAACATCTCCAGATGTTTCCTTCTATACCTATGAGACCTTTGTAGGGCCCAATGACCTGGCCGTGGACATTTGCAGAATCCATCCGTTTCATCAAAATGGCAGAACGGAAATGGTGATCTTGCCATGCAAGCATTGCCCCTATTTTGAACATGGATGCAATGTTGTGACATGCACACAGACAAAAAGATGGAACTGGCACAATGGCATTGTGATGCTTCTTTTGCCCATCGTGCTCACTGGGAGACTTTGAGCCACTTCTTCTCTCCGTTCCAAGAAGCAGTGCAGAATTATAGGTAAGATGTTGAAGTGGGAAGTAGCTTCAACTTAATTAGTTTGCCCAAATTGCCCAAATTGAAACATATGAAGAAATCAACCATAGATGGTTCCTGGGTATCTCTGGGCTACTTTATAAAGCCTTAGTAAGACCACACCTAGAATACTGCATCCAGTTTTGCTTCCCACATTACAAAAAAGACGTTGAGACTTTGAAAAAAAGTGCAAAGAAGAGCAACTAAGATGCTGCAGGAATTGGTTACAGCTGTGCTGTGCGATCGTCGGAACCTTTTTAAAAAACTTTTTAAAAGCATTTTTTACTACCTATTCGCCCAAACCGGTAGTAAAAAATGCTTTTAAAAAGTTTGTTAAAAGGTTCCCACGATCACGCGCCACAGTTGATCACACCCATACACCTACGCTGTTCTACTTATTTATTTATTATTTATTTATTTATTGGTTTGATTTATATGCCGCCCTTCTCCGGAGACTCAGGGTGGCTTACAATGCATTAAGCAATACCCTTCATACTTTTGTATATACCTGCTTAGTAGGGCTTTCGCCCCCCCCCCAAGCGGTGTTCTTTTTTATACAAAGTCAGCTTATTGCCCCCACAATCCGGGTTCTCATTTTACCTACCTCGGAAGGATGGAAGACTGAGTCAACCTTGAGCCTGTGAGATTTGAACTTGCAGTAATTGCAGGCAGCTGGTGCTACTTAATAGCACTTTAGTCTGCTGCACCACCAAGGCTCTTACTTACTTACTTACTTATTTACCTTCGCAGCACGCATTAAACTGCAGCTCGCATTTAGTGCGTACTGCACACATACGCAGCCAGCGAACCAATAGTAAACTGGTTCAGATTTCACCACTGAGCTGCAGTAATTCACTAACAATTGTGACAAGCAAGGTCATAAAATGTGGCAAAACTCACTTAGCAACCATTTCACTTAGCAATGGAAATGTCGGGCTCAATTGGGGCCGTAAATCAAGGTCTACCTATAACAAAAAAGGGGAGTGGGTGGTCTAAATCTATGGAATCAGCAGAGGGAAAAGAGCAAACCGTGAGTTTGGGATGGACTGCAGCAACTACCTGTCCATGAACTTGTAAAATATTTTATCAAGACATGTTAGCTTTGGCTATTTTTCAGACAAACAGTTCTGTTGATTTAAGCTTTGTTCATTCACCTTAATTTTTGACTTTGAACATATTTGATGTCCTTGTCCATGCATAGTGGAAAAGTCTTCCTTTTTGATGTCACATAGAATGCTTTCCACAGTTTTATTAAAATTAGGGAAGGTTTCTTAGTGAAATAAGAGGTCCCAAATGTGTTGCCACAAAGGACCACCAGATCCTGTTTGTTATTCCTCAGTTCCTTCTTGAAAGAGCACAGTTTAATCCCCAGTATCTGAATATACCTTGCAATTCTATAGCTGTGGCTCCATTGAGGCCTCCTAGCTTCATACTGGGATCACCCAGCCGTTGTTGAAATGATATCCAGCCTGTTCACGTTATTGTAATTTTGGCACACCAATGGTTGGATGGCTCTATTAATGACCTTGAGGTCTTCATTCAGAAGACCAGAAATCCAGCGGGTTTCATTGGAACTTGTAAAATGATGGAAGACGGGCTCAGCCATATTCATAGAAAGCATTGTCCCAAGTAGTGTCAGTTGTGAAAATTGCATTGTTACTCTAATTCTTGACTTCTTGTTGCTCACAAGAGTGCAGAGAAGAGCAACCAAGATGATTAGGGGACTGGAGGCTAAAACATGAGAAGAACGGTTGCAGGAACTGGGTATGACTAGTTTGATGAAAAGAAGGACTAGGGGAGACATGATAGCAGTGTTCCAATATCTCAGGGGCTGCCACAAAAAAGAGGGAGTCAAGCTATTCTACAGAGCATCTGAGGGCAAGACAAGAAGAATGGATGGAAACTAACCAATGACAGAACCAATTTAGCACTAAGAAGGAATTTCCTGACAAAACAATCAGCGGAACAGCTTGCCTTCAGAAGTTGTTGGCAGTCCATCACTGGAGGTTATTAAGAAGACATTGGACAACCATTTGTCTGAAATGCAGTGGTGGGATTCAAATAATTTAACAACTGGTTTGCCCCAGGGTCAGATTGGCTGTTGTGGGAGGCATGGCCTATTCCTGTCCTCCAGCTCCACCACACATGCGGGAAAGCCTCCTGCAATGGGCAACCTGACCCTGGGCAAACTGGTTGCTAAATTCCCCCACAAACACACCTATCAAAGTGGATCCTGGGCGCTGCGCTGCAATGGAAAAACAGGCAATGGAGCGGCTGGCACGAGAGAAGGAGGAGGAGCAAGGAGAAGAAAGAGGGAAAGCGGCCTTCGCCTTCCCTCGCACCAGCCGCTCTGTTGCCCGTTTCTCCATTGCAGCGCAGTGCCCAGGATCCACTTCGATAGCGGGCGGGCGGTTAATTTAACAACTGGTTCGCTCAAACCAGTGCAAACCGGCTGAATCTCATCACTGCTGAAATAGTATAGGGCCGTGATGGCAAACCTATGGTAGCCATATCAGTGGGCGCATGCGCGCGCCAGCCAGCTGATTTTCAGGCCTTCTGGACCACCTGAAAGTATGGAAACAGTCTGTTTCCAGCTTCTGGAGGGCCTCCGGGGGATGGGGAAGTCCATTTTCACCCTTCCCAGGCTCCTAGAAGGACTCCGGGGCCTGGGGAAGAGCAAAAAATAGGCCTTCCGGTCCCACCGAAGTTGGCAAATGGACCATTTCCGGCCTCCAGGGGGCCTCCAGGGGTTTTCGCCCTCCCCAAGCTCCTAGAAAGGCTCTGGAGCCTAGGAAGAGAGAAAAATGGGCCTACCGGGCCAACGCGTACCAGGAGTGGAGGGAAGGGAGAGTCGTGTGCACATGCGCCAGGGCGGGGTGCATAGAATTATGTGTGTAGGCACGCATGCGCACAACAATTCCCCCCCCCACTCCTGGCACGCGATGGCAAAAAAGGTTAGCCATCACTGCTATAGGGTCTCCTGCTTTAGCAGGGTGTTGGAGTAGAAGACCTCGAAGGTCCCTTCCAACTCCATTATTCTGTTATTCTGTTGTTGTTTTTTAATTAATCCTGGAGAGTGTTTGTCTCTGGTTTCTAATTTCACCTAGAATTCCTTAACCTGGATTATTAGTAAAACCTCTTGTTATGGAAATTCTTGTGGATGACTTATAACCATAGACAAGAACATCTGTGAGGATGGCAAAGAGGAACACTGGGCCATCACAACACAAAGCCCATCAATTTTGTTACATGTGTTTTGTTCACACAAGATATTACATAATATACGGACGCACTTAATCAGATCAGCTATAAAACCAACACTCAACTTGGCTAGGGTTTATGGCTTGGCCCAGGGGTCTTCAAACTTGCCAACTTTAAGACTTATGGACTTCAACTCCCAGAATTCCTCAGCCAGCTATGCTGAATGGGGAATCTGGGAGTTGAAGTCCACAAGTTTTAAAATTGCCAAGTTTGAGACTCCTGGCTTAGCTTGGTCGGAGAACTGTGAATGTTGTGGCTTGAGCTTTCTTTCTTTCTCGTGCTGCACTCTGTTGCAGAGTAAGCACAAGCTCATCACACAATGGTGACACTGAGCCTTCTGCAGAATCTACAATACAACCTCTTAACTTGCTTATTAATTTTAATTTTACTTTTAATATATTAATTGGGGTTATTTTTACAATGTTCCAACGTTCTGCTTCACATGGCGGTAACAGTACTGATCAGGGGTGAAATCTACTTACCTTCCTTACGGATTCGGAAGCGCATGCGCTGTGCTCCACCACTTCCTTTAGTAGTGCAAGGCGAGACTCATTATGAGGTGAAGAAAATCCTGCGCTTTAGACTCTATAGGGGTCGATTACAATATTTGGTGCATTGGAAAGGCTACCCGTTAGCTGAAGCTACTTGGGTTAAGAGTTGGGATGTAAATGCTGATGCGCTCGTGAAACAGTTTCACAATAAATTTCCTGAGAAGCCGAAAGGTCCCACTGGGGGGGGAGGGGGGTTAAGGGGCTTTGCGCTAGGTGTTAACCCTTTCTTTTGTGTTTTGTCTGCTTTATTTTTCAGGATGTGGGTCTTTCTGCAGGGTGGGGGGCCCCTGTCAGCTCTGGAAGCCATATTAGGCCGGAAGCTTCAATGCTGCCACCTCCTCATGTGTGGGAAAGTAGGAGGGGGGATTTAGGAGAGGGGGTTAGTAGACATAATAGCATTCTTCCTGTCGGTCAAGTGGTAAATATCCCCGCCTGTCACGGGGAGACCGGGGTTCGATTCCCTGCACTATCTTTGTGCATCATTGCTATATAATTTTGTATTCTTAAAATACCCTTTTCTGCAGTGGTATCCTGGGATTAATATGACCGACTGTCCTCTTTTCGCACAATCTGCATTTTTTCCCCTTATCTAATCAAACTTTGACTAGATGTCTCCACATATTTATTTTTCCTTTCCTCTTGTTTGCAGGACCTTTGGCAAATATTGCATCCTCCCAAATAAGCCAATGCAAGTGGCAGGTGGCGGGGGGGACAGCGAACAGAAATACTCCATAAAAAGGAGCACCTGACGTCGGATCCTCTACCTTCCTTCCGTCGGTGCCTGGGAGATCATCTCTGAACCCAGCCATGAATTCCCTGGTAGCTCTCGTACTCCTGGGTCAGATTATAGGATGCACGTTTAGTCATCACTTGTTGCCGCAATTAGATTGCAACAGCGAAGAAGCTGAAAGATTAGCAAAATTGGCAGTGGACTACATCAATGAGCATAGTCTACATGGATACATACAAGCTCTCAATATAATCAAGGATGCTCATGTCGTACCCCGGGTAAGTACAATGGGAGGAAAATTTTTCCTAGTTTCATTTACTAAATCAATGACAGTTAAGTGATTGTTTTGGGGAGGTGATGTTGTGCCAGTCAATTTCTGTAGCCTTCCTGCTGAGATCTGGGCAGTCTACAGCCTCTTTCTAGTCCATGTTCTGTAATCTCATAGCTTCCATTTTCAGCTGAATTGCTAGACGGGTGTGGACAACGGGTGTCCACCATTTTGTTGATAGTGACACACACTGCCCCCGACCCATCCCAGTGAATGCTTATACTCCTGACTGCTGCTTCTTTAGTTGTCAGATCCTTAGAAAGGGAAGGGGGGGTCATCTCGTGATCTGCACCATACGCACAACACGTTTAACCAGCGCAGAGCATGTTTCTGTGACTGCATTTGGATATGCAGAACTTGATGTGAGCACCAGTTGGATTTGTTATGTCAGCTCAGCTCCTTGGGTTATTTAATGGTTCAGCGTGGGATGGAAATCTAGGAAATGGTTCATTCTGCAACTGGGTTAAGTGTTGTATGAACTCTCCAACTGAGCAAAATGTTAGCTCCTTCCCAACAATTCAATCTTCATTAGACCCCTGTCCCAAACTGTTGTCCTAAGTATCTGTAGGTAGACAGGCCAGGACTACCCAATGCCATTTTTTGGAGCCACAATGCTGGTGGTTGAATATGCACACATGTGAACCATGCAATGTCAGAAAGAGGCAATTTTTTTCCACCCAGACTTGGTCAAAACCAACAACTGGGTAATCAACTGAGGCCTACAAGAAAACCTCATACCACATTGCAGAGCAGAGCAGATGTTGACGTCAGGACAGGACAGCCTTGTCCATTCCTGCCTTGCAACCTCCAAAGGAACCGTGTTTAACTTAAGGCAGCATTGAAATTTCCTGTTGGGTGTATTTTCTTCAAAGCAGTTGATACTGAGAAGTACACATTCTCATGCTAATTTTTCGTTTTAGAGACCCCGTGGGAATATAATATTCCTTGAGCTAAGTCTTCTGGAGACAGTCTGTCACGTGTTGGATCCATCCCCTCTCGAGAAATGTACTGTAAGACCCCAAAAATACCATGTAAGTGTCTGAAAGTTCTTGAAAATGTAAGACTTTGTGAGAGGACAGGTGGCTTCTTACCACTCCACCAAGAGTAAATTGAGTTTCTGAACACATATACACACAAACTGATGTAGTGGTGAACAAAGGGTTAATGAAACCTCAGCGGTGTCTAATGTATTCCATGGGCATTCATTCTGAGCGCACATTACCTAGCCAGATTTCATTTCAACTCTGAACAATGAATTAGCCAGGAATTAAGAAGTCAATCCTTATTTCACATTCACCCCGTGATGTCCAAAGTTGAATTGTTCCCATGCCAGATTCCATGAAAAGTGCCTTATAGGAGGTATCCAACCACAGCAACTTTTAAGACCTGTGGACTTCAAGTCCCAGAATTCCCCAGCAAGCTATGTCCAAGGTTGGACGCCCCAGGTTTAAGGTTACTGTCCAATTTTTATCAACATGGAACTGGCCAAGTAGAAGTTCTCATATTACCACACCTGCAAATGTTTCCCCAAAGGCACCAATAAGATAGTTTTGGAGCAAATATGCATGTCAGGCTCAAAACCAAGAAAGACCCGCTAAATTAAAGGTAAAGGTTCCCCTCGCACATATGTGTTAGTCGTTCCCAACTCTAGAGGGCAGTGCTCATCTCCATTTCAAAGCCGAAGAGTCAGCGCTGCAGATTGTGGCCGACATGACTCAATGCCAAAGACGCATGGAAAGTTGTTACCTTCCCACCAAAGGTGGTCCCTATTTTTCTACTTCCATTTTTTATGCGCTTTCGAACTGCTAGGTTGGCAGAAACTGGGACAAGTGACGGGAGCTCACCCCGTTACGCGGCACTAGGGATTCGAACTGCTGAACTGCCGACCTTTCGATCGACAAGCTCAGTGTCTTAGCCACTGAGCCACCCTGTCCCTTCCCGCTAAGTTAGGGCAAAGCAATTTTCCTTTATTGTTCCTTACCTATAGACCAAAATCGTGCCACACTAAAGCAAACCTCTTGCATCATTAAATGCATACAGTACTCTGAGAACTTCTACAGAGGAGCTGTGTTGACGTTCTTCTTCCCAACCAAACTGTCTAAACTTTGCTGTCTCTTGCTTCGCTGGAATGCAACCCCTCCCACCTGGGAATCCAGACTACATTCCACCACAGTGCACTAGCTACTGTAATGATGCTGCCTCACAAAATAGTCTACCAAAGTTATTAGTGCATTGTGCTCATTTTAATAATCTCCTATCTGTTAAGAACGTGAAATGTGCTATAATGGACCATAATGAATCCTACTAATGCTATAAATCCACCCCCAGAAGCACCAGTTTTAAAGCAGTAGCCCAAAATGGTTAGTTAAATAACGTTAAGTTAAAGTTTAACCTGTTTAATTTGATGGCTTGTATCTCCAGGCTGTTGAAGGAGATTGTGATGTCAAGATTCTCAGTGATGAGGGCGTCGAGAAAGTGGTTGCTGTGAAATGCCACTCAGAACCAGGTAATTCATCTTTGTCCCAGTTGGATTCTTAACTGGGCTGGGTTCAAGAAACTAAGAGCTGAACCACTGGCCTCTTGTCATTTCCTGTCCTGCTTTATTAACTTTTTATGATGGTGGAGTTACTAACCCAGCCCTTCTTTAAAATTCAGCAGCATCTTAGGGACCTGAAATCTCCCCCCCCCCCGAGAGGCTAACTATGCATTGCTTTAATTCAGTTGAAAGGCAATTCAAGCCAATCTAATCAGATAGAATGGATCACTGAATCAGATGCTTCCAAACTGTTTATTCTGCATCTGCAAAAACTTTTCTTTCTCAATCTGTTTAGGAATACAAATTAAAATGCTGCTTTCAGTCCATTCAAATGATGGGCTTGAATCAAACTGACAGTTCAAATCAATTTGATGTTTGGATATGGACTGGAAGCACTTACACACCCTTAATAAAGCATTCAACATCCCTCCCTCCCTCCCTCCCTCCCTTCGTTTCGTTTCGTTTCATTTTATTAAATTTGTATAAACCCTTCCTTCCTTCCTTCCTTCCTTCCTTCCTTCCTTCCTTCCTTCCTTTCTTCCCAGCCAATCAGAACCCTAAGCTGTCCAGTCCAGGAAATGAAAGTGCAGGAGAATTAACTCTGTTGTTGGTACTTCCTGTTAATTGGAAAACTGCTATGGAAGTTTTCCAATTTAGTTTGCATTTAGGGCATTCCCAATCAATTTCATTATCTAGAACAAGAACAATCATTATTTGGATCAACTAGGAAAAATTATGGCTCAATGTCTATTGAACATTAGCAAACATCAAAACATTTAACTGCAAAATGAGAGGCTTTGCTGGCTGGGGAATTCTGGGAGTTGAAGTCCACCAGGCTTAAAGTCGCCAAGGTTGGAGACTCCTGAAACAGTGCAGATGTTAAGCTACGGTAGCTACATGAATCTGGCTTCCCCGTTGACTTTGCTGTGTGTGTGGCTAATTAAAGAACTGCAGGGATTCAGTTAAGAATGGTGGCAAGAAAGGCCGTAAAATGGGGCAAGCTCACTTAACAAGAGTCTCATTTGGCAACATAAATGTTGTGCTCAATTGTGGTCATAACTCAAGCACCGTCTGTCCTTACGGTCTCCCATTGCAAAAGCTGTAATTTGAACTTGCTGCCCAACTATTTTTTTTTTTTTAACCTTCTGCCTGAAATTTCCTGACAGTCAGGATAACGAATCAGTGGGACGACTTGCCTCCAGAAATTTTTAAGACGAGACTAGACAACCATTTGTCCGAAATGGTACACGATGTCCTGCTTTTTTTGCAGCCGTTTTCAGCTAAGACTGTATGTTTACAAACATACGATGAACAGTTGCAGGAACTGGGCATGGCTAGTCTAGTGAAGAGAAGAGAAGGACCAGGGGAGACATGATAGCAGTCTTCCAATATTTGAGGGGCTGCCACAGAGAGGAAGGGGTCAAGCTGTTTTCCAAGGCACCCGAAGGCCAGACAAGGAATAATGGATAGAAACGGAACAAGGAGAGAGTCAATCTATAAATGAGGAGAAATTTCCTGACAGTGAGAACAATCAACCCATGGAACAGAAGTTGCCTTTGGAAGTTGTGGGAGCTTCATCACTGGAGGCTTCCGAGAAGAGACTGGACTGCCATCTGTCAGAAATGGTGTAGGGTCTCCTGCTTGGGTAGGGGGTTGGACTAGATGACCTATAAGATCCCTTCCAACTCTGTTAATCTGTATCTGTAAATGCCCTTCTTGACTTTTTTTTTTTGTCTTTTCAGATTCTGTTGAAGATGTGAGACGAAACTGTCCAATCTGTCCAATTCTGTTGCCTCGGAATGACCCTCATGTGGTAGAATGTGTTGAATACGTGCTCCATAAACACAATGAACAACTGCCCGAACACGCTTATGAAGTCCTTGAGATTTCAAGAGGGCAGCACAAAGTTAGTATGCAAATCTCCGATTACCTCTTCCAGTTTAAAGCTTTGATACTTCATAGAACTAAGAGAAAGCAGGAGGAGATAGGAGGGGGGGTGGCAATTATGCTCTGCAAAAGTCTAGGAAAAGAACCAGAAATCAACAAAGAAGAATATTTGTAGCTCAGGATTGAAATGAGGGGTCCTTGGTGCCCTCTGAGCTCGGGTGTGTGGGGGTTTTTTTGTTTTTTTTTTTTTGTAGACGTTTCGTTAACCAAACTAGGTAACATCATCAGTGCTAGACCGATGATCAACTAGCACCAATGATGTTACCTAGTTTAGGTAATCAAATGTCTGCAAGAAAACAACCGAGATCAGAGAGCACCAAGACTCTGCAAAGAACCAGCTGCTAAGAAAAAAAGGGGAAAGATACCTTTTCAAGAACCAGGGGCTGAAGACAGCTTTTTTAAATTTACTTTCCAAGCCTCTGACTCTAGTGAACAAGGATTCACTGACATTTTATTGATAAAATATAATTACGGCCAATACCCAGTCAAGTGAAACTTAGAAACAGCCACCAGATGAAATACCACATGAAGAACGGCTGCAGGTTTTGGGTTTGGCTAGTCTAAAGAAAAGAAGAATTGAGAGGGGGGGGTCAAATTATTCTCCAAAGCACCTGAAGGCAGGACAAAAAATAACGCATGGAAACTAATCAAGAAGAGAAGCAACCTGGAATTAAGGAGAAATTTCCTAACAGTGAGGACAGTGGAACAGAAGTTGCCTCCAGAAGTTGTGGGTGCTTCATCACTGGAGGTTTTTTAAGAAGAGACTGGACGGCCACTTGACTGAAATGGTATCGGTCAGTGATGGCTAACCTTTTTGCCATCGTGTGCCAAAAGCGGGGGGAGTGCGTGGGGGGGTTGTCGCACTCACACGTGCCCACACCCATAATTCAGTGCACCCCGCTCCCCCCCCCGCTCAGGCATGCATGACACCCCTGCGCTCCCCCTGCTTTTGGCACGCGATGGCATGGTGGGCCCAGTAGGCCCGTTTTTTGCCCTCCCCAGGCTCCAGAGGCTTACTTGGAGCCTGGAGAGGGCGAAAACAGCCTTCCCCATCCCCCTGGAGGCGCTTCGGAGGCCAGAAATGGCCTATATACTGACTTCCGGTGGGACTGGAAGGCCCATTCTTCGCTCTACCCAGCCTCCAGAGCCTTTCTAGGAGCCTGGGGAGGGCGAAAATGCCCTTCCCTCCCCCGGAGGCCCTCCAGAGGCTGGAAATAGCCTTCCAGTGGGCCCGGAAGGCCCGAAAATCAGCTGAGCTAGGGCAACACTCGCGTGCCCACCGATATGGCTCTGCGTGCCACCTGTGGCACGCGTGCCATAGGTTCGCCATCACGGGTATAGGTTCTCCTGCTTGAACAGAGGAAACTGGACTAGAAGACCTCCAAGGTCCCTTCCAGCTCTATTCTATTGTAAATATTCTAAAACAGAAGCGATGAAACAGCCATGCAAAAGCTAGGAAATCCTTATTTCTTAGGGGCTCTGGGGAATCACAAATTACCTCTCCCTCTGCCAAAGGAAGCTGGGAAATTCAGTTGGAACAGGCGACCACGGGTGATGGTGGGGATATGCAGCAGACAGGACTAAAATTTCATTCTCCCAGCCATTTCTACCCACAATCCAGCTGAAACGTCTCTTGCTTTGATTTCAGTTGGAGCCTGAAGCTTACTATGTGGAGTTTGCTATTGTGGAGACCAACTGCTCTGCTAAGGAAGCTCACGACAACCATCATGATTGCCACCCCAAAGCAGCAGGAGAAGGAGTAAGTGCGAGGGTCAACTCCAAACCTATCTGAGCAATTGCCATGTCTGTCTGTCTGCCTCTCTTTTCTTTCTCTCTCGCCTCTCTCTCTTTCTCTTTTCTTTCTCTCTCCTCTCTCTCTTCTTTGTTTCTTTCTCTCTCTTTCCCCTCTCTCTTTTCTTTCTCTCCTCTCTCTCTCTTTTCTTTCTCTCTCTCTCTCCCCTCTCTCCTCCCTCCCTCCCCCCTCTTTCTTTCCTCTCTCTCTCTCCTCCCTTCCTCCCCCCCCCTCTTTCTCCTAGCAAACCAGGACCACATTCTAAACAAATATGCAAGGCCAAATATTCCATAGAGAAATAGAGACTTGATTCTGGCTTTCACCAGCCCAAATCCTACACTTTAACCCAGTGGTGGGTTGCCCCCAGTTCGCACTGGTTCTATAGAACTGGTAGTAAAACCAGCGGGAGGCTCCGCCCACTGACCCGGACATCATCAAAATGCTTCTGCGCATGTGCAGAAGCTTCTGTGCATGTGGCCCCGTTGCGAACCGGTAGTAAAGGTAAGTAGAACCTACCCCTGCTTTAACCTCTGTGCAATGTCAATGTCATCACAATTCCTCCAGAAATAATGCATCCCCAACCTTCCCATCAATATCTGAAGAAGAATATGATGCCGAGTAGTCTAACGATTTTTTTTTTAATTAGATTTATATGCCGCCCTTCTCCGGAGACTCAGGGCGGCTTACAATGCGTTAAACAATAGCCTTCATACTTTTATATATTTTATACAAAGTCAGCTTATTGCTCCTACAATCCGGGTCCTCATTTTACCTACCTTAGAAAGGATAGAAGGCTGAGTCAACCTTGAGTCAACCTTGAGCCTGGTGAGATTTGAGATTTGAACTTGCAGTAATTGCAGGCAGCTGATGTTAATAACAGTGCTTTAGTCTGCTGCACCACCAGGGCGCAATGGAATTGGTTTGTGACCTGACCAGATTCTTTAATTCATTAGTAGCTTTTTGGGTTCACATGGAAATATCTTAATGTTTCCTTTTCCCCCTCTTTCTCTCCAGCATCTTGGATTCTGCAGAGCGACTGTGTTTAGATCGCAAGCTGCCACTGAAAAACCTAAAGATGAAAAGTATGAGTCAGACTGTATCATCTTTGATGTCAAGGTATGTACATTAAAGGCAATTTTGTTCATCCTCCTTCCCCTTCCTCCACACCAGAGTTTCTCATCCTCACCAACTTTAAGATGTGTAGACTTCAACTCCCAGAATTCCCTAGCCAGAAGGTTGGGGAATTCTGGAAGTTGAACTCCACATATCTCTTGGTTTCTGTCCATCCAAGGAGCTCAAAATTGACTTCCTGTTCCAGCTATAGATTCCCCTGCATCCCTTCACATGGGTATATAATATAATAGCTCTGATATATAATACGGTTTGTTCAGGGGTGAAATCTAAAATTTGTTACTACCGGTTCTGTGGGCATGGCTTAGTGGGGGGGGGGGGTTAATGTGACTGGATAGGCGTGGCCAACTATTTTTTTTTTTAACTTTTCAAAGCATTTTTTCTAATGCTTTGAAAAGCTTCTGTCGATCAGGCTACTCAGCTGGGATCGTCAGAGAGGCATTTTAAAAAATACCTCTCTGCCGATCAGGCAACTCAGCTGGGAGTTGCCAGAGACTTTTCAAAGCATTTTTTTTACCACCTCTTCGGCCAAGAGGTTGCAGAAAAAAATGCTTTGAAAAGCCTCTGATGATCCCAGCTGAGCCGCGCGATCATCAGAGGCTTTTTTTTTTTAACTTTTAAAAGCATTTTTTCTTCAGAAGAGGTTGTAGAAAAAATGCTTTTCAAAATTAAAAAAAAAGCCTCTGATGATCGTGCGGCTCAGCTGGGCATGGTGTGGGGGGGGCAGGGATTTTTGCTACCGGTTCTCCGAATCACCCGCCGCCATCGCTACCGGATCCGGCATTCCGGTCCAAACCGGGAGCATTTCACCCCTGGGTTTGTTTGAGCTTGCCTTAGCATAATGCAGCCTTTTATGATTTGTAAACCATAGATTCTTTTATTTATATACTTCCTTTTCTCTGAGATTATTATTTTGATCCTCACCACTGCCCTTTGGATTGTAGGCTGGGCTGAGAACAGAATAACTGGCTCAGAGCTATCCAGAAATTTACCTAGCCAGGAAGGGTTTGAATCTAGATCTCCCCAGTTTAACACTGGCCCCTTAATTGCCATGCTATTCATTCAACAAACTGCGGTTATAACAAATTATGCCTTAGCCATAAGCCTTACAATAACAAAAAGAACAACTCTCTATTAAACTGCAGAACTAACTGCCATTTTTCAGTTTTATTCATTTGACTTCTACTCCAACATTTGCCAACTGCCAGGTTACAGGCAGTCCTCAATTTATGACCACAACCCCAAATTTTCATTGCTAAGCAAGACTGTTGTTAAGTAAGTTTTGCCCCATTTTACACCCTTTCTTGCCACAGTTGTTAAGCGAATCACTGCAGTTGATAAGTTAGTAACCAGGTTGTTAAGTGAATCTGGCTTCCCCATTGACTTTGCTTGTCAGAAGGCCGCAAAAAAGAGATCACAGGGCCCTTTGACACTGCAACCGTCATAAATGTGAGTCAGTTGTCACGCATCTGAAATTTGACCATGGGGATGCTGCAATGGTCATAAGTGTGAAAAACAGTCATAAGTCACTTTTTTCAGGGCTGTTGTAACTTCGAAGGGTCACTAAATGAATGAGGAGTCCCTGTATTGAACATATTAAGAGCCATCGATTTTCTTGATTTTCTTTTTTCAATTTTCAGTGGATTTTCTTAATTCACTTTTGGGTTAATGCGTTGGAGAGTTCAAAGCAGGATAAAATAGCAAGAGCACTTAGACTTATATAGCGCTTCACAGTGCTTTTACAGCCCTCTCTAAGCGGTATACAGAGTCAGTATATTTGCCCCCAACAATCTGAGTCCCCATTTTACCCACCTCGGAAGGATGGAAGGCTGAGTCAACCTTGAGCCTGGCGAGATTCGAACTGCCAAATTGCAGTCAGCCGGCAGTCAGCAGAACTTGCCTTCAGTACTGCACTCTAACCACTGCGCCACCACGGCTCATGACCGAAAAAGACTCACCTATGTTTGCATGTTGTTGTTTTTGTTTTGTTTTCCAGGTGGGAATTCCTCATGCCCATTTGATCGAGCATCACTATGCAAAAAATATTGTTTCCCCAGGACACAACAATACTGTCCTGGACCTCGTCCATTCGCACAACCATACCAGCGCCTCACACGAGACTCATTCTCACGAACACGCAGCGACAGTCGCCGCTCCTGTGGTCAAAAGGGAAGCTCCAACAGAGGCATCACATGATCACACACACGCTACAAACCTTTGTCCCGGAAAAGTACATCACTTCAAGATTTAGGCCAGCTGTGACACAGAGCAGAGAGAAGCCGCCCAGTTAAATGCAAAACCCCTTTTTCCAAATCGGAACTCAAACCCTGAATCCAAAAAAAAGGGGGTTTTACCCTGATACGTTACCGTCCTGGCCAAGTGTTGTGATCACCCGTTGTTGTTATGAGAAAGAGGCTTTGCATTCGTGCCTTTCTGCTTTTAGAAATGCAGGTGCTCACTGCAAACTTAACATCTTCCAGTCTCTCGCTCTTCAGCCAAGGAGCTAAAAGAAAGTTGAACAGAAGTTATATTAGCCCCAAAGTCAAAATTCTTCTTTCTTTTTTTTTAAAGAGAAAATGCATAACATTTGACAATATCTGCTCATTACCTCTATTCCTTATGAGATTTTTCCCCCCCTCTGAATGTTTCACCATGCTACATTATTTTACAGGGGCAATGTTGAACAAAGTCCAATATATTGACAGCAAAAAGCACGGGGTACTTCCTAAATAAAATGTTCAATTCTAAAATGGGCTTGCCCTTTTGTCTTGCTTGACGTTCGTGGGCCAGATGGCTTTGGTCAGCCTGGGTGAGAATTCTGGGAATTATAGTTCAGCACCTCTAGGGGAGGACAGTGGGTCAACCTATTCTTCAAAGCACCTTTGGACATCTCTTCTTTATGATGGAATGCAAACTGTGGGGTATCAACATTTGCAAAAATTGTTTTGGTCCCCCTGGGATTCAAACATCTTTGACCAGGTCAGATAATTTTCATACCATCAACTTTCTCTTCTTCTCTCTTTCCCAGACCATGTTACAGTAGCACCCCGGCTTAATGACTGATTACGCCAATGTGGTAGAGCTTTTTTTGTTGTTGTTGTTGTTAAAGTATTCTCTCACACAATTTTAATTCCAATATATAATAGTTCCACTAACTCTTGCCTCACAATCAGAAGGCTTTCAGACTCCACACTGTAACAGACAATACTTGGCAAAAATGCAGGAACATTGCAAATGAACTAATTGTCTCCTGCAAACTCCCCTCCCCTTCGCTCCTCTTTATCCCCTATGGGAGGGGCCATTCACCATCCACCTGTGGCTTTACTCCTGATTCGACCCTTGTTCCTTAGCTGTTCCCTTCTCCTGGCAGCTCTGTGCATGCGCACACTGGGAACAGGATCCAGCTGTTCTTCTGCCCCACTGATGTCCGACTTTGAAGGCAGCTGACAACTGTCAGACGGCCCTGGCCCCCTCTCTGCCTCCGACGCAGAGCACTCGTCAGAGCCTTCCCCAGACTCCAGGACTGGCCCATGTTCCTCCCAAACCTCCTCACTGTCTGATTCTGTCACCAGATTCGCTGGCCACTGGCGGGCCACAACAATATATCTGCTGAACAAAACACTGCATTGGCGATAGGAAGGGCATCCGGCCATTAAACACTCTGCTAGCTCCGTTGCCCAGACTCCACCCCACAAGGGATTATGGGGTCGTTAAAAGATTATGATGATGATATAATAGTTCCACTAAAAGTAGAATCTAAAGAAAGTAATAGAATTCAGTACAGGTAATCCTCAACTTACAACCACAGCTGAGATCAACACTTCTGCTGCTAACCAAGACAGTTGCTTAGTGAGTTTTGCCCCATTTTATGATCTTTCTTGCCATACGTGTTAGGTGAATCACTGCAGTTGTCACGTTAGTAACACAGTTGTTAACTGAATCTGGCTCCCCCATTGACTTGGCTTGTCAGAAGGTCACAAAAGCTGATCACATGATCCCAGGACATTGCAATATGTCATAAGTATGAACCAGTTGCCAAGCATCGAAATTTTGACCACGTGGCCATGGGGATGCTGCAACGGTCATATAAGTGTGAAAAATTCTCAGGTGTGCTTCCGTTCAAAACTCCATGTTTGTAGAGAAAGGTACTTTTGCTGAGTATGAACTGAATGCAACGAAAGGAAAGCAAAGTCTGAGGCAATAGGCGCGAAAATTACATATTGAAAGCATCTCCAAATCCCTCCCCCCCAAGGATTCAAGTTGAATGTCCAATCCACATCTCCCCAAAGTGTCATGTGGGGTACTTCTTCAGATGGTCCCATCTATCTGGTATGCCAGAACGGTTGACCTTGACTGCTATCAGCACTCCCTGCAGCTGCTACAAAGACAGAATTTTCCTCCCTTTCACGAGATATCTCGTGTAAGTGCCTGAGCCCACTGTAACAACATTGCCAAAAAGACATTAAGAGTTGTTAACCTAATCTTGCGTAGCTTCTTCTCTGGTAATGTTGTACTACTAACTACAGCATACAAAACATTTGCTAGACCAATTCTTGAATGCAGCTCATCTGTCTGGAACTTGCACTGCATATCGGGCCTAAATACAATCGAGAGAGTCCAGAGATATTTTACGAGAAGAGTCCTCCATTCCTCTAACCGCAATAAAATATCTTATGCCACCAGACTCCAAATTTTGGGCTTAGACAACTTAGAACTACGCCGACTTCAGTCTGACCTAAGCATAGTACATAAAATTATCTGCCACAATGTCCTTCCTGTCAATGACTACTTCAGCTTCAACCACAACAATACATGAGCGCACAATAGATACAAACTCAAGGTAAACCACTCCAAACTCGATTGCAGAAAATAGGACTTCAGTAACAGAGTGGTCAATGCCTGGAATGCACTACCTGATTCTGTGGTTTCATCCCAAAACCCCCAAAATTTTAACCTAAGACTGTCGACTGTTGACCTCACCCCTTTCATAAGAGGTCTGTAAGGGGCGTGAATAAGTGCACCAGCATGCCTACCGTCCTTTTTACTTACTCTTTTCATGTATTCAAATTATGTTTATACTTTTACCTGTTATCTTATATATGCTTGACAAGTAAACCTACGATTATGATTATGATCTCCACCAGCTCACTTCCCCCCTCCCAAATACCTATTATACCCCACCTCCCATTACTATGGCAGCCGAAACCAAGCAAGCATCATAGAGGCTGACAAAAATGGTCATATGTCACTTTTTTCAGTGCCATTGTAACTTTGAAATGTCACTAAAAGAATGGTTGGAAGCCGAGGACTATCTCTAATAGCAGAATTATAAATTCAACTATTTATACCATGATAATTAAGATAAGATAACCTTTATTGTCATTTTTTTTACTGTGAGTACACTGGCACATATTAAAAATGAAATTTTGTTGCCTGTTCTCAAAAGAAAGTATATATCTACCCATACACATAACACACACAGATACACACACAGACACACACACACACACACACACACACACACACAGATATATATATATATATAATAATAAAAATAATAATAATAATAATAATAATAATAATAATAATAATTATTATTATTATTATTATTATTATTTTATTTTATTTCTATACCGCCCTTCTCCCGAAGGACTCAGGGCGGTGTACAGCCTATTAAAAGCACAAGACAAACATCAATTAAAATAATTTAAAATTATTAAATAATTCGGCTCAGTTTAAAACCCCAGAAATTTAAAACACCCAATTTAAAATTATTATGTTGATAGCCCGGCCTGGCAGAACAACAGGGTCTTGAGTGCACAGCGAAATACCCGGAGGTCGGAGATCTTACGCACTTCAGGGGGCAGTTCATTCCACAGGGCTGGGGCTCCCACAGAGAAGGCCCTCCCCCTGGGTGTCGCCAGCCTACATAACTTGGCCGATGGCACCCTGAGGAGACCCTCTCTGTGGGAGCGAACTGGCCGGTGGGAGGCTATTGGTGGCAGAAGTCGGTCTCGAAGGTACCCGGGTCCCGTGCCATGGAGTGCTTTAAAGGTGATGACCAACACCTTGAATCGCACCCGGAAGACCACTGGGAGCCAGTGCAGCTCGCGCAGGAGGAGTGTCACGTGGGCGCAATGAGTTGCGCCCATAACCACCCGTGCAGCCGCATTCTGGACCAGTTGGAGCCTCCGAGTGCTCTTCAAGGGGAGCCCCATGTAGAGAGCATTACAATAGTCCAGCCGGGAGGTGACAAGGGCGTGAGTGACCGTGCGCAAGGCGTCCCGGTGCAGAAAGGGCTGCAACTGGCGAATCAGTTATATAGATATAACTCTCTCAAGATGCACTTTGGGATGAACGCCCTTCAAATGATATGGGATATGAACAGATTTCCAGAAAAATTGCGTCGTTTTGAGGGGTGTGTAGATATTTTCACAGCCCCCTTTTTGACTCGTGCAGTATGCAGGTCCTCAAAAAATACTGTTTGGGGATAATGGCCAAAAATAGCCACAGTGGAGGACATGGGTATGATATTATCTGTTCCTGAACTTCAGAAGAGCTAGATGACCTATGCTGATAGTGATTGCATGGATATGTCCTAAGCAGTGTATATAATTACAAGTCATCAGGTGATTTGTTTGAGCTTAACACGAATCAGTAATATAATTTTCTGAGCTGGGAACATTTTTTTAAAATTTATTTGTTCAATTTCTATAGCCGCGCATCTCAGTCAATGACTCCGGGCAGCTTACAATTTTTTAAAAAATTACAATTAAAATACTAAATAGATTTTAAAGCAATAAAAACACTAAAAACATCCAGATTTAATACAGATGGGAGATGGGAGCAAGATACGTGGACATTAACAATACAGTCAGGAAATGGGGCAGTGGTGGGTTTCAAAAATTTTTACTACCGGTTCTGTGGGTGTGGCTTGGTGGGCATGGCATGGCTTGGTGGGCATGGCTTGGTGGGTGTGGCAGGGGAAGGATACTGTAAAATCTCCATTCCCACCCCACTCCAGGGGAAGGATACTGCAAAATCCCCATTTCCTCCCGATCAACTGGGACTTGGGAGACAGAGAATAAATGGGGGTGAGGCCAGTCAGAATTTTTACTACCGGTTCTCCGAACTACTCAAAATTTCTGCTACCGGTTCTCCAGAACTGGTCAGAACCTGCTGAAACCCACCTCTGAAATGGGGCCCTTAACACATTCACCATTAATATAAGCCATCCATTAGAATAGGGCCAAAGCTTGTAGCTATATTTTTTTCCTTCTTAGAAAAGAGAAGTAGGAAAATGGAGCAAACAATATGTTGGAGGGAAGGATTTTTATTATAACTGGAACTATGATCTAAAGTTAAGGGGGTAACTTACCTTTACCTTACTTTAGTGACCATTCGAAGTTACAATGGCACTGAAAGGCCACTGAGAGGCTCAAGGTTGACTCAGCCTTCCATCCTTTCTAAGTTTGTGGGGGCAATAAGCTTACTTTGTATAAAAAATATACAAAAGTATGAAGGCTATTGCTTAACGCACTGTAAGCTGCCCTGAGTCTCCGGAGAAGGGCGGCATATAAATCAAATTTTAAAAAGGGGGGGGGGAATCTATGGTGATTTTTCTCACTTACGACCATTGCATCATTCTCATGGTCACATGATCAAAATTCAAGCACTTGGCAACTGACTCATACTTATGATGGTCGCAGTGTCCTGGAATCACCTTCTGTGACCTTCTGACAAGCAAAGTCAATGGGGAAGCCAGAGTCACTTCACAACTATGTCCCTAACTTAACACTGCAGTGATTCGGGTAAAAACTCTTCCAAGAACGGCCGTAAAATGGAGCAAAAATCACTTAACAAATGTTTCACTTAACAAGAGAAATCTTGGGCTCAATTGAGGTTGTAAGTTGAGGACTACCTGTATAGTGCTTTCTATACAGGACTCTCTAAGCGGTATTATAGAGTCAGCATTTTACCGACCTTGGAAGGGTAGAAGGCTGAGTCAACATTGAGCCAGTCAGTTTGTCCTAGATCTGAGGAAAAAGTCAGAGAGAAGTTGGTGCTGTCCAGGATTCTGATGAGGGACAGAATCCATTGGGGTTCACATGCTGCGAAACCCAATTTAAGGGGGGTTGAATGCAAAGTAATTTCTCCAGTGCCATAATTGTAGTTTAATTAGGAATGATTTAATAAAGAAAACAGGAAAATAATCCTTGAACTGAGGTGTTTGGTTCCCTGCATCTACTATCGCTAAAAGTTTATGGACATTCTCAGTCATTCAGGTCACGGTTATCCGAAAAGTGTTTTTTCAAGAGACAACTGGACTTTCTGGTTTGAGAGCTGAAGAGGTTTCTTGGATGAGAAGCGAAATGTCTTCAAAGAAAAACCAGAAAGTTTTTGGTTTTTGGTTTTTGGTCAGGGTTCCAGAAAACCCCAACTCCGAGTAAAGACGCGGAAGCAAGCATTTTCCAAAGTTCTCTTTACTAGAATAGGTAAACTGGCACATCTGGGAAAACCCGAATCTGAAAGTAAATCCCTCAGTAAATCAAAATCCTTTTCCCTCAGTCAATCAAAAAACCCCAAACCATCCCCTCAACTCCTCAGTTGATCACATGCTCCAATCAACGTCCGTCCCATCTTGACTCAGCACTCCGACAACTCCTTCTCCAGATGCTGGATCGCCCTGACCTTGACCAATAGGAAGAATGCTATTATATCTACCAACAACCCCTCTCCTAAATCCCCCCTCCTACTTTTCCACACATGAGAAGGTGGCAGCATGGAAGCTTCCGGCCTAATATGGCTTCCAAAGCTAACATTTGCCTCTTGAAAAAGCACCTTTGGGACTGCATTTACTATGTACACTTGCTGTACTACTTCTCCAGTGATGGACAAACGTCTTAAAGCTAGCATGAAAGTTTTATCTCTTCCATCAACTTCCTGATGGGCCTTTCCATCTCTTCCATTTCTCCATTAGAGACCAACAGATGCTCACATTTTTGAGGGGAAAGGTGGAAGTGACCTGGTCCCACCTGGCCTATACAGCAGATGGGGTGAGATGGAGAGACCCACTTTCACAATGGCATTAATGTGTTGTTGCACAACTTTCTCCCTGGGCTGACAAATTTTGCTGATTTTTTTTTTTTGTTTCAAAGTTTTGAAAGTTGCAGCATAGCACTGTGACCTGACAGTGGTGCCAGATTCCAGGAAATCCCTATCAACATTTCCAGGTGTGTCCCAAACGGCTGTACCAATAAGTTCTGCCAAGGCCTAGAATTTTTTTTCTTCCCAACTGAAGCTTTGTGATGCTATTCCATGGAGCCCATGTTTCGTCAGCTGTCTGCGTACTGATAAGAACTCATTGCAGGCTCCACAAGTCTTATCAACAAAATGTCTATGGAGATCATCAATAATCCAGGTTACGCTTGTCCTAAAGGTGCTGTTCAAAAGACAACTGGACTTTCTTGTTGTTGTTTTTTCTTGAAAATGTTTCTCTTCTCATCCAAAAAGCTTCTGAGAGAATTTAAGAAGTTTCTTGAATAAGAAGGGAAGTGTTTAGAAGGCAAAAAAACCAAGGAAGTCCAGTTGCCTTTGGGACTTAGCAATAAATATTTTCTTACAGAAACTTTTCACCAACTGAAATGACAGAACAGCTGCTAAAGAACAGGTCACAGCATCTTACATCTCACTGCTGCCATCTGTTGGTGACTACCGGTAATCCTCAACTTGTAATCAGTTGCTTAGCAACTGTTTGAAATTACACTGCCTGTCCACAAAAAGTACCTGTCAACCCTGAAGCTGGCCTGAATGAGGCCATTTTGAGACTGCTATTCCATGGAGCCCATGTTTCGTCAGCTGTCTGCGTACTGATAAGAACTCATTGCAGGCTCCACAAGTCTTATCAACAAAATGTCTATGGAGATCATCAATAATCCAGGTTACGCTTGTCCTAAAGGTGCTGTTCAAAAGACAACTGGACTTTCTTGTTGTTGTTTTTTCTTGAAAATGTTTCTCTTCTCATCCAAAAAGCTTCTGAGAGAATTTAAGAAGTTTCTTGAATAAGAAGGGAAGTGTTTAGAAGGCAAAAAAACCAAGGAAGTCCAGTTGCCTTTGGGACTTAGCAATAAATATTTTCTTACAGAAACTTTTCACCAACTGAAATGACAGAACAGCTGCTAAAGAACAGGTCACAGCATCTTACATCTCACTGCTGCCATCTGTTGGTGACTACCGGTAATCCTCAACTTGTAATCAGTTGCTTAGCAACTGTTTGAAATTACACTGCCTGTCCACAAAAAGTACCTGTCAACCCTGAAGCTGGCCTGAATGAGGCCATTTTGAGACCAGAGCTTGAGAGCTCAGTCAGGTCAGTTTCAGGGTTGACAGTACCTACGACCAGGGGTGAAATCCAGCAGGTTCTGACAGGTTCTGGAGAACCAGTAGTGGAAATTTTCAGTAGTTTGGAGAACCGGCAAATGCCACCTCTGGCTGACCCCAGAGTGGAGTAGGAATGGAGATTTTGTAATATCCTTCCCCTGGAATGGGGTGGGGATGGAGATTTTGCAGTATCCTTCCCCTGCCACGCCCACCAAGCAACACCATGAACACCAAACCACACCCACATAATCGGTAGTAAAAAAAATTGGATTTCAAAAAATTGGATTAGGCCTACGACCTAATTTCAAACTTTATGGTTGTTTGCAGTCATGGGCCTGCAATTTTTGAAGGTTTGGTTTTTTTTTTTTTACCAATTTCTGTTTTACTTCTGGTTTGTGGCAAAAAATACCCATTGGGTATAATGGATTTGCTTAATGACTGCAGCATTTGCTTAACGACCACTGCAAAAAACGACATAAAATCAGATCTGGTCACATGGTGAGCTGCTTAATAACTGCAAAGACATATGCTATAATTCTAGACTCAATTATATTTGTAAGCTGAGGACTACGTAAAACAACTTTGGAGGCATTGCTTGTCATCAAGCTTGATGATGCATTTATAGTCTACGCTTTTCTTCTAAGAATTCATGACTGTCTTTAAGGCCCCTCCTGAATTTTACCCTAAATTTAAACAACAACCATGTGATGCAGGCTGATTTGAAAAACAACAAAAAGGCAGTTATCCTTTGGCTCTCCGCAGTTCAATGCTTGCTGCATTCTACTAGTTAATGATGAGCTAGTAATCTGGGACAATAAAGAACTCAGGGAAATAAAGATACATTCCCAATTTGCCTTCTCATCAATGGATTCCTCGTGATTAATCACATCCCCAGTGTCAGCCACTGTGCAGCTAATGACACACACATAATCCAAACAATATACTCATAGTATCATTTCAACACTTAGCAACCCTCACAATCTCGGCCATTTTGCAGTGAGCATACAAGCCATTTGCTGTCCAGCCACAACCACAATGTCGTTGTCATTCACAATACCCACAGATTAGATTAGATTCTGATCGTACCAGAGGTGAAATCCAGCAGGTTCTGACAGGTTCTGGAGAACCGATAGCGGAAATTTTGAGCAGTTCAAAGAACCGGTAGTGGAAACTTTGAGTAGTTCCAGAAAACTGGCAAATACCACCTCTGGCTGGCCCCAGAGTGGGGTGGGAATGGAGATTTTGCAATATCCTTCCCCCTGGAGTGGGATGGGAATGGAACAGTGATGGGTTGCCCCCGGTTTGGACTGGTTCGCAAGAACCGATAGTAAAACCGGTGGGAAGCCCCGTCCACCACCCCGGATGTTATCATCAGTGAACTGCGCATGTGCAGAAGCTACTGCACATGCGCAGAAGCAAGGTGCATGCACAAGCAATCCCATTGCGAACCAGAAGTAAAGGTAAGTAGAACCCACCCCTGGAATGGAGATTTTGCAGTATCCTTCTCCTGCCACACCCACCAAGCCACGCCCGCCAAGCCACACCATGCCCACCAAGCCACACTCACAGAGCCAGTAGTAAAAAAATTTGGATTTCACCACTGGGTCATACCCATAATTTTTAAAACAAAAGGGAGAAAGGAAGGAGGGAGGGAGGGGGAAGGAAGGGAGAAAGGAAGGGAGGGAGGAAGGAAGGAAAGAAGGAAGGAAGGAAGGAAGGGAGAAAGACATACAGTAGTTCTTTCTGCAATGAACTTGGTTTAGATGACATGACAATAATTCTAGGTCAGAATTACCCTGCCAAAGTATAAACTTCCAATAATTGAATCACGGGTTGAATTTCATAGGTGAGGGTGACCATGGAGTAGAAGAACAAATATTAGCTCTTGGTTTCAAAGTATATATAGAAAGACAAAGCTCTGTCAGAGCCTCGCTCTCTTAGCGTAGCTCCAGTTGCTGTCTTCTCTGATTCCGCAAAAGCTTCCAAAATGTCTCTTTTAATTTCCTTCTTGATTGGGATACAGATGCTCCACTTGGTAGCTGCCTCGTCCCCTTTTCCCTTTCTTTACCCGTCATGCAATTCTTTGGTGGTAAAGGCCGCTGCAGAAGTGGCCCTTGACAAACTCAACGCCGATCGGTCAGAAGGCTACATTCTTGCCCTCCAGCGCATTTATGATGCCCGTGAAATACCCCAGGTAAGGTTGTCTTCTTCTTCTTCTTCTTCTTTTCTTCTTCTTCTTCTTCTTCTTCTTCTTCTTCTTCTTCTTCTTCTTCTTCTTCTTCTTCTTCTTCTTCTTCTTCTTCTTCTTCTCTTCTTCTTCTTCTTCTCCTTCTCCTTCTCCTTCTCCTTCTCCTTCTCCTTCTTCTTCTTTTCCTTCCCCTCAGCACCAGCCATTCTGTTGTTGAATCAGGGTAGCACTGTGTCTATGGAGATTCTCAGTCATCCAAGTTGTGGAAGCTTCTTGGATGAGAAGTGAAACGTCTTCAAAGAAAAACCAGAAAGTCCAGTTGCCTCTTGAAAAAAGCACCTTTGGGACATGGCAGCACTAATGTATCTGGGCAGGAAAGGAATCTATAAAATCATTTGATAGCTCCCAGAAGATAGAGGAAGCTGTTGTGCTATCCTTGAATCTACTGGTCAGCCCAGCTCAGAATTCTAAGAAGCTGAGCTTGTTGATCGAAAGGTCGGCAGTTCAGAGGTTCGAATCCCTGGTGCCGCGTAAAGGGGTGAGTTCCCGTTACTTGTCCCAGCTTCTGACAACCTAGCAGTTCGAAAGCACATAAAAAATGCAAGTAGAAAAATAGGGACCACCTTTGGTGGGAAGGCAACTGCGTTCCGTGCGTCTTTGGCATTTAGTCATGCCGGCCACATGACCACAGAGACGTCTTTGGACAGTGCTAGCTCTTCGGCTTTGAAACGGAGATGAGCACCGCCCCCTAGAGTCAGGAACAACTAGCACATATGTGCGAGGGGAACCTTTACCTTTACCTTAATCCTAATAAAATAAAGGTATGTTTCTCCTGCATACTAAGAGCCATAAGGCAGAGTAAAGCAACTCTTTGCTAAATATCTATGGAGATTCTCAGTCACAGAAGTCATGGTTATCCTCAAAAGACAACTGAACTTTGTCCGAAACTGAAGAAGCTTCTTGCATGAGAAGTGAAACATCTTCAAAGAAAAACAAAATCCAGATCCCCCTTTGAAAAAGCACCTTTGAGTCAATTCTTATTTGCTGACAGCGAATGTCAGGGGACAGAATAATGCCTGTCCCAGACTGTCTGTTAATCTTTGGAGGTCAAATTTGGTGATAACGGATGCTCACCTTTTACTAGGATTAAAATACATATTTTGCACCGTGCGCCCTCTCAATGTCTTGGCATACAGATGGTCTTTGATTTATGACCACAAACAAGCCCCCACATTTCTGTTGCTAAGTGAGACATTGGTAAGTGAACTTTACCCCATTTTACGACCTTTCTTGCCACGTGTGCTAAGCGAATCAGTTTTCATTTGAATGTATGCCAATTAGTGTACATTCAAAGTGCCAATAAAGTTATTCTATGTTTATGACCTTTTTTTTGCCACGGTTGTTAAGGGAATCAGGCGGTCAATAAGTGAATCTGGCTTCCCTGGAGGAAGTCAATGGGGGAAGCCGGATTCACTTATTGACCACCTGATTCCCTTAACAACGGCAGTGATTCACTGAACAACCATGGGGAAAAAAGGGTCATAAAACTGAGCATTGACTCACTTAATAACCACCTTGCTTAGCAATGGAAATTCTGGTCCCAGTGGTGGTTATAAGTCGAGGACTAACTATATTGCCAAAAAGAAAAGACATCAGTCTAGCATCGCAAGGCCACCACCGCTGCGCTTCCATTGACATCATGTAACCAGGTTGACCCCTTAACTTTTTCTGAAGGTTGATTTGAAGGTGCATTTATTTCCTTGCAATGTGTTTTAAGGCAGGGGTCTCCAACCTTGGGAACTTTAAGACTTGTGGACTTCAACTCCCAGAATTCCTCATCCAGCTTTGCCGGCTGAGGAATTCTGGGAGTTGAAGTCCGCAAGTCTTAAAGTTCCCAAGGTTGGAGACCCCAGCTTTAAGATGATGGACACCCTGCCTTGCCATTTCAAGGGTTTTTCTTTGTTTGTCCATAGCGGAATGGCGGTTCTCTTTTCTACCTCACCCTGGATGTATTAGAAACGGAATGCTATGTCCTGACTGGGAAACAGTGGAAAGAATGCAAGATTAGAAATATGCACGAGACAGTAAGTAACTGATCTACTTCAGTTAAAAGAACCACCAATGAGGATTAACAGGAAGCCACATCAGAGTTTTGAATAGTTCATCCGGTAGCTCTTACACTTGGGAAAGGTTTCCTAATAATGGAATAACTGCATAGAAGGGACCTTGGAGGTCTTCTAGTCCAATCCCCTGCTCAAGCAGGAGAGCCTATATCCGTGATGGCGAACCTATGGCACGCGGGCCTGAAGTGGAGGCATGTCGGCTGGCACACATGGCGTGGCCCGTTCCTCTTCCGAGTTTCTGGCGCGCATGCATGCATGATGATCAGCTGTCTTTTTGCACATCTGGCCCTGCCGGAAACCGGAAGAGTTGGTGTGTGCATGCGCACAACCGGAAGAGTTGTGCGCATGTGCACCAGCCGATTGGTGCATGTGCATGCATGCCAGTAACCGAAAGACATGCTGGCTGGCTGGTCCACATGCACATGCCAGAAACCGGAAGTTCACTTCCCCATGTGTGCATGCCCACTTGGCAGCTTCTCTTCCGGGCTGTGTCCCCAACAAGCGCGTGCACACACACGCACACTCCAGGGGTGGGTTCTACTTACCTTTACTACCTGTTCGCAATGGGGCTACGTGGGCTTCTGTGCATGCGCAGATCGTCATTTATGACGTCCGGGCAAGTGGGCAGAGCCTCCCCCCAATTTTACTACTGGTTCTATAGAACTGGACTAAACCGGGAGCAAACGGTTCGCCATCCTTGCCCTATACCATTCTGAACCAATGGCTGTCCAATCTCTTTTTAAAAACCTCCAGTGATGGAGCACCCATAACTCCTCCAGACAAGCCATTCCACTGGTTAATGGTTCTCAACAACAGGAAATTAGTTTTATTTTAATTTTTTCTTTTAAAAATTTTTTATTGAAAATTATTAAAAAATACAAAAAAAAAAAGTATAACAATATGGATAGAATTGCAGAGAGTAATATAATATATATAGAGTTTTAAAGTATCAATTTTCGCCTAGAGAAAGTACAGACCTCCATTAAACCAACTCATCAAAAGAAAGAAAAGTTTATCCAGAAGAAAAAATTCTCAACTGCCATGCAATGCTCCTATAAATATTTACCCACGTTCACATTAAGGTTAATATTTTCATACTTCTTAAGATTTCTTTTTTTGCAGCCAAGCATACCATCTGTCCCAGTTCCTATATAACCCCGATTCTTGTCTATCTTGCAAAAGTCCAGTAAGCTTGTCTGCTTCTGCACAGTCCATGATCGTTGCGGTTAACGTAGCCTCCGATGGAATATTTTTGGATTTCCATTCTTGCGCAAACGAGATCCTGGCTGCAATGATGATGTGGAGAGCGAGATACCAATTAGATTTGTTTAAGTTCTCTGGTTTCACGCCTAGTAAAAACGTTTCTGGGTTCAAATCTATCCTACATCCTATGATTTCTAAAATCCATTTTTGAATTCTAGCCCAATATTCTTTTGCTCGGGGACAGGTCCACCAATTATGAAAGTAAGTTCCCATAGCGGCGTTGCATTTCCAACAAACTGGAGAGGTTCCCGGGAACATCTTCGATAATCTAGCCGGGGGCAGGTGCCATCTATACAGCATTTTGTATATATTTTCCTTATAGGAAACCGACATTGTTAATTTTAAGGTTTTCCCCCAAATTTCTTCCCATTTTTCAAGTTCAATCGAATGTCCCAAATTTCTCCCCCAGGCAATCATTGAGTCCTTGATAACCTCCTCTCCAATCTAATCCATTAAGAGGAAATTAGTTTTAGATTGGCTTCCTCTTTAATGAGCTTCCACCCATTACTGTTTGTCATGCCCTCAGGTGTTTTTGAAACCCCCTTTTCTTTGTGGCAGCCCCTCAAATATTGGAAGGCTGCTATCATGTCGCCTTCTTTTCGGTAAACTAGACATAGCCAATTCCTGCAACCGTTCTTCGTATGTTTTAGCCTCCAGTCCCCTAATCATCTTTGTTAGACTTCTCTGCATCTTTCTAGAGTCTCAACATCTTTTTTATATCATGGTGACCAAAACTGGATGCACTAGTCTAAGGTGTGGTCTTACTAAGGCATTATAAAGTAGTACTAACATTGCACTAATATCAGGGCTGAAATCCAGCAGGTTCTGACAGGTTCTGGAAAACCGATAGTGGAAATTTTGAGCAGTTCGGAGAACTCTTAGACTGGAAGTAGATCATATGGAATTTATATCATGGCTGGTGGATCGATCACCAATGCTGCACGAATGAGCATTTGTAATAATACATTCTGCAGTTCAAAAAAAGTCAGTGGGGTTGTAAGCCACAAGAAGAAATGTAGGAAGTGTAGAGATATAGTGTAGGAAGAAATATCCTTCTGGGTTCAGCTCCAAGTGGGAAAAAAGACACTGGAAACATGGAGACTGCTTGGAAAGATGGTTTAATGGTAGACAGGATCACATGGTTTGAGTTCCTGAACAGAAAAGGACGAGACGCAGTGAGTCCCCAGGTTTTATGCCCTCTCTGGCTTTGAACTTCCTGGAGCCCAGAAAGAGTATCCTGATTGGTTGTCAGACTCCCAGGGGGTGGGGGTCTTAGCTAGCCTTGCTGGCTGATGTAATCTTCCCAGGTGCCATGTGGTGAGTTTCTGTTGCTAGATGGGTCCTATTGTGTTGCAGATGATGGTCCATTGACAAAGGGTGGGGGGGCAGGAAGGTGGGAGCTGCTTCGTCTTTAAAATATGCTTCTCCATTACTCAACCAGGGAAATATAATATTCTGCCTTTTTAATATTTCCTAAAATATTTCATTCTTCCAAGAGAGGAGTGGGTGCTAACTTCCTATAATAGAAAACAAGAAATGTAGACATTTTCACTTTTTTTTTTCATTTTGGAAGGAAAGTAAACTGGAGTCTAACACTATCTTCTCTTGTTCCAGATCTATGGCCAATGTAAAGTAATAATTCACTTCAACAGGAATTCTGATCGTTCACACTTGTACAGTTATCACTGTGACTTACGCCCACGTAAGTATTTTCCATGTTTGCCTGCATGTAGCTTTGCAAGAAAAATATCTCCAGCATAGACACCTCCCAATTGCCATTTTGCAGATTTCCTCACAGAAACTTAAAAAATAAACACAGAAGCCCCAAAATGACGCCTTATAATCATAATCATGTTTATTTTGTCAAGCATATATAAGATAACAGGTAGAAGTAAAACATAATTTGAATACATGAAAAGAGTAAGTAAAAAGGAATATTAGGACAGGGACGGTAGGCACGCTGGTGTACTTATGCAGGCCCCTTACAGAACTTTTAGGAATGGGGTGAGGTCAACAGTAGACAGTTTAAGGTTAAAGTTTTGGGGGTTTGGGGAAGAAACCACAGAATGCAGGTAGTGCATTCCAGGCACTGACCACTCTGTTGCTGAAGTCGTATTTTCTGCAGTCGAGTTTGGAGCAATTTACCTTGAGTTTGTATCTATTGTTTGCTCAAATATTTTTGCGGTTGAAGCTGAAGTAGTCACTGACAGATAGGATGTTGTAGCAGATAATTTTCTGTACTACGCTTAGGTCAGACCGAAGACGGCATAGTTCTAAATTGTTTAATCCCAAAATTTCAAGCCTCGGGGCATAAGGTATTCTGTTGTGAGCAGAGGAGTGGAGGACTGTTATGTTTAGTTAGATCAAAACATAGTTTATTATTTATTTATTTTATTTATTGGTTCGATTTATATGCCGCCCTTCTCCGGAGACTCAGGGTGGCTTACAATGCATTAAGCAATAGCCTTCATACTTTTGTATATACCTGCTTAGTAGGGCTTTCAGCCCCCCCCCCCCAGCGGTGTTCTTTTTTATACAAAGTCAGCTTATTGCCCCCACAATCCGGGTCCTCATTTTACCTACCTCGGAAGGATGGAAGGATGAGTCAACCTTGAGCCTGGGGAGATTCGAACTTGCAGTAATTGCAGGCAGCTGGTGCTACTTAACAGCACTTTAGTCTGCTGCGCCACCAAGGCTCTTCTAATTATAAGTAGTCTTCAATTTATGACCGTAATTGAATGTGGTCATAAGTTACTGCAGCCATTAATTGGGTCTCCACATGCCCCCTCATTTTATGACATTTCTTTTTTTGAGGAGGCCATTAACTTGCTTTTGAATGCCATAGCCATTTTGCCTAGTGGGTGTTTTTTTTTTGCCAAAAACCAGAAGTAAATGTCAGACACTTGCAAAAAAAACGCCTTCAAAAATTGTAGTCGTCTGGCCACAAAATACTGCAAATGGCTTTAAGAGTGAACCAGGCCCCAAGCACCCAAAATGTGGTCACATGGCTACAAGGAGTGATTGTAAGTAGGTCGTTTTTGTGGGGGAGGAGGATACGTCATAATTTTGAACAATCGCTAAGTGACTGGTCATTGAGTCAAGTAATTGCCTGCTTGTACTAGGGAGGCAATTAGTTAATAATTAGCTTATCAACATAGCGGACTAGGCCAGCTAGAGTGTGAATTGGGTAAAGTAGAAGTTGCTGCAAACACGGTTTAAATAAAAGTTATTCGGTCTTGGTAGAGTCATTCAGTAGATATTACTACATTGTCTACTCCGATTCTACCATAAAAGAAAAAGAACTCCAGATTGGGAGCCAGTTTAGTGTAGTGGTTAAGGAAGGGGTGCCAAACTCTATTTCATCGAGGGCCACATCAGGGTTGTGTTTATTTATTTATTTATTTATTTATTTAATTTGTATACCGCCCTTCTCCCAGAAGTGTTTGACCTTGGAGGGCCAGGGGTAAACCATAGCTGGAGGTTGGTGGGGGTGGCAATGGTGGGGCTGGCCAGATCGACATCACTCGTGTTGGGGAGTACCTGTGGTGGCCAAGTGCTAAAGAGACCCTTCCTCACACTCATTATAATCTCCTTCCTTCCTTCCTTCCTTCTTCCCTCCCTCCCTTCTTTCTTCCTTCCCTCCCTCCCTCCCTCCTTCCTTCCTTCTCTTATTTATTTATTGGTTCGATTTATATGCCGCCCTTCTCCGGAGACTCAGGGCGGCTTACAATGCGTTAAGCAATAGCCTTCATACTTTTGTATATACCTGCTTAGTAGGGCTTTCGGGCCCCCCTAAGCGGTGTTCTTTTTTATACAAAGTCAGCTTATTGCCCTCACAAATCGGGTCCTCATTTTACCTACCTCGAAAAGATGGAAGGCTGAGTCTTCTTTTTCCTTCCCTCTTCATTCTTCTTTCTTCTTCCTTCCCCTTTCCTTATTTTTCCTTCCTTGCTCTCTTCCCATCCTTTTTTCTTTTTCTTTGTCTTCTTCTTTCCCTTTCTCCTTTTCCTGTCCCTTCTTGCATGCTCAAATGCAAAAGGGGAAACAGTTCTCCTTTTGTTTTGCTTTTAGTTTGTTTTGATAGCCCTCTGCCAGTGAAAACAGAGGTCGGGGGGGTCTGTGTGTGCCCCCCCTCCCCGCGCCCCATTTTCGGCCACAACGGCCTCTTGCAACCCTCTGCAAGCTCTGTTTTCACTGGCAGAGGCACTGCAGGCAAGTCCTTTGCTGTTTCCAGGCTGGCCCCGTGGGTCAGATCTAAGACTCAGAGGCCTGATCTGGTCCACGGGCCTTCAGTTTTACATCCCTGCATTAAGGCATCAGGCTAAAAACTGGGTGACCATGAATTCTAGTCCCACCTGGGGCACGAAGCCAGCAGTGACCTTGGACCAGCCACTTACTCTCAGCCCTAGGAAGACGGTAATAGCAAGCCACTACTGAAAAACCATGCCAAGAAAATTACAGAGACTCATCCAGGCAGTCTCAAGGAATCAGATATGGTTAAACAGAGGTGGGGAGGAGGGGGAATCCAAATTGACTGTTCTGGGGGATTCAAGTCTGATGCTGATTGGTAGAAGGAGGCTCAATTTTCAAGCTGATCCAAGCTTTCCGTATTTCAGTTCATTTAAATGTACAAGCTCAAATTCAAATGTCTTGTCTCACCTTATTAAATAACACTTCTTTGCTTTTCTAAAGTTTGTAGTTTGGTTATTCTGGGTCTTTGTCCCGACTGCCCAACGCCTGGAAATCTTACTGACGCCAAGTATCAGCAGACAGCACTGGAGACGCTGGCCAAATTCAATGCTGAAAATGAGCATAATCATTATTTTGTCCTTGTTAATGTCACCAAAGCCAGTTCACAGGTAAAGTTGAAATGGAGCATTTTTCAGCCAGAAAGTTGATGCTGTATCTTTCATTGATATGAAGACTGCTGCAGGGTATAGGCTAAACTCGGAAATTAAAAATAATAAATGGAAATAACCCCACGAGAGGGTGATTGACTTCTGCATTATTGCCAAAGGAAGTGCAGAGCCAGATTCACAAGGTCTGCAGGAATCTGATGTAAAGTTGATTTTAGTTTTTATCTGCCAGAGGGTTTCCCACATGGATGGGACCCTGCCGGGGTGAAATGCTCCCGGTTCGGACCGAATTGCCCGATCCGGAAGTGATGGAGGCAGGTGGTTCGGAGAACTGGTAGCAAAAATCCCTGCCCCCCCTCCATTGCCCAGCTGACCCGCGCAATCATCAGAGGCTTTTTTAAAATTATTTTTAAAAGCATCATTTCTTCAACCTCTTTGGCCGAAAAAAATGCTTTTAAAAGTAAAAAAAAAAGCTCTGATGATCGCACAGCTCAACTGGGATCATCGGAGGCTTTTAAAAGCATTTTTTCTACAACCTCTTATAGAAAAAATGTTTTTAAAAGGAAAAAAAGCCTCTGCCGATCAGGCAAGTCAGAGGCTTTTTTTAAAAAAGCTGCTGATCAGGTAAGGCAGCTGGGATCGTCAGAGGCTTTAAAAAAAAAAAAGGAAAGCCTTTGCCGATCAGGCAAGTCAGCTGGGATCGTCAGAGGCTTTTAAAAGCATTTTTTTTACAACCTCTTCAGCTGAAGAGGTTGTAGAAAAAATGGTTTTAAAAGTAAAAAAAAAAAAGTTGGCCACGCCCACTTAGTCATATTACCCACCACCACCACCAAGCCACACCCACAGAACCTATAGTAACAAATTTTACATTTCACCACTGGTCACCCTGGTCTTTGGACAATGTGACTTTCAATCTGATTACGGAATATAAATATTCTTTTATTAATAAAGACACTTGACAATGTCCTACCAATTCTCCAGGACCTAGTGCTGAGAATTATGGGGACAATACTAGAGGGCATCAGGTCAATAAAGATTGGCAGGGCACCTAAGATTAGGTGGGGCACTTCCTGCAGACAATGTGGCCCACTCTAACTCCTTGTGTGTGATTTTTTTACAGTGGGTCATTGGTTCTTCCTACTTTGTGGAATACACCATCTGGGAGACTTCCTGTCGCAAAAGTCCACCTGTGTCTGACATCACTCGGTGCCCTCTCCTCCCAGTTGAAACTGCAGTAAGTATTCACTCATCTTGCATAACACCTAACTTGCCGTTATGGCTCAATGCATTCTTTCTCAAGAACCACATTTCCAACTGCTGACATCACGTTCTTTATTCATCAGTGATGGCTGGACTCAATGTTCTGCCCCAGCTATGGACCCCAAAGGACGCAGCACACACAAAGTCCGTTCAAACCTTAATTTACTAAATAAACCAGTTTTTTACAACAACGGCTGTTAATTAACTGCATTAACAGCCGCCAAGAATTCAAAGAATAATACTGAAAGCTTACTGTAGTTGGCAGAATGCCCAGAAGCAATTTGCAGAAAGCTGATAAGATAAGCAAGACAAGACAGGAAGGTATGTGAACGGAGTTGTTCCCTGCAAATTGCTTCAGTCAGCGTTCCTCCTTAAATAGGCTAAGGGAGTGGCCAATTAACCCCAAGCCTTGTTCTCGAGGAGACCTCCTCCTGAGGGGCCACTCCTGCCTTTTGGCAGCTCTGTGCACCCGTGCATCGAGAAGAGGCTCCTCCTCTTCATCCTCTTCACTTAAAGGAGCTTCTGGAAGTTCTGAAGGCCCTGGCTGAATCTCCGCCTCTGGCACCACATCTTCTCCAGCCTCCTCATTGTCTGACTCGAGTGCCAGCTGCACAGGCTGCTGGTGCAGCACCACACCAGCCTCCTCGCTGTCGGAATCAGCTACTAGCTACACCGGCTGCTGACGGGCCACAACATTCAATGGCTGCTTTTATACAGCATTTAGACTATCTTAAAATGGGATTAGATAATCTGTGAGAACATAGAAATGATCTTAGTTTGTTGTATAAATCCATCACATTATGCCATGCTATAGTTTATTAGTTTGGCCATTGCATTGTGGAAGGCTGAATGCTTCTTCTGACAGATTAAAAAGAGGTAGATTTATTGTACAAATAACACATCCCTAATATGTTACGCATATTATATTCAGATTTATACACCATCTGTTATGCTTTTTTATATATAAGTGATAAGGATATCATTTACAGCACTCCACAAGGTTACAAATTTCAGTGTTCCGCTGTGTTCCTAATCATCCATGTTTCTTAACAGTAAAGGGAGTAGTAACACAGTTCTTTCTCTGACTTTAGGGACTGCAAATCCTATTTCTTTACGCAGGGCTAAATTGTCGTTCAAGCTACACTTGATGCTATGTTTTCCCAACCTGCTCCTCCCAATACGCATAGGGTATTACTCAGGAGTGGGTTCTGCTTACCTTTACTACCAGTTCCCAGTGGGAGCGCACACACGCGTTTTTGGGCATGCGCAGATGACCCATGATGATGTCATGGCAGATGGGCGGAGCCTACCGCCGGTTTTACTACCGATTCTATAGAACCGGACAGAACTGGGAGCAACCCACCACTGGTATTACTCCCAGGTGCCATTGCTAGTGTTATAGCTATCTTATTTTCATTTGCTTCTCAATCTCTCAGGATTTCTCAGTTTGTAAGGGTGAGGGGGGAACAATTACTCACTGCTGACTAGCTGTAGATGGTCTGTGTCTTTGGAAGGCTTGTAAAGCTGTTAAAGGTAAAGGTAAAGGTTCCCCTAGCACATATGTGCTAGTCGTTCCTGACTCTAGGGTGGGGTGCTCATCTCTGTTTCAAAGCTGAAGAGCCAGCGCTGTCCAAAGACGTCTCCGTGGTCATGCGGCCGCCATGACTAAATGCCAAAGGCGCACGGAACGCTGTTGCCTTCCCACCAAAGATGGTCTCTATTTTTCTACTTGCATTTTTACGTGCTTTCGAACTGCTAGGTTGGCGGAAGCTCACCCTGGGAGCTCAACCTGTTACGTGGCACTAGGGATTCGAATCACTGAACTGCCGACATTTCAATCGACAAGCTCAGCATTTTAGCCACTGAGCCACCGCATCCCTTCTGTTATTACATATTACATATTACATATTATTAGTGGAGCTGTTAGACTCCACCAAACCATTTATGTGCCGTTTTATGCACCATTGCCTTCTCCTTCAGCTTTCCAACTCAACACTCTTTCTCTCTCCACCAACATTCATACCCTGCACCTTCATAGTTATGGGGTTATGGAGTATTTTAAAATTCAGCCTAAATTATTTAATTTGTTTTAATTTATTTTAGATTTTGTATTTCCTGTGTTTTATCTTCTGGCTGTTCACCGCCCTGAGTCCTTCAGGAGAAGGGCGGTATAGAAATTTAATAAAATAAATAAATAGTTTCTTTTTTTTAATCTCTCCACACTACAGTTACACTACACCATAGTAGAAATACCTGAGCAGGTTAATTTTTTTGTTTTGTTTTTGTTGATGAAAATTTTCTCTTTTGCTCTAGGAAAGAGGTCTATGCAAAGGCTCTGTGATGATCAGCGAGGTAGACAAAAATAAATTTGTCACTGTAAAATGTGAGTTCTTCCCACATCTGGTAAGTTCCTCAGTCACCTATCATCTGTAGAAAATATTCATTCCTGGGTGGTGGAACAATTTATTTTTAAAGATCATTGACTGGCTGGATTAAGCAGATAGAGGAAAATCAATTTAATAAACTTATTGTTAATTAATTACTTTTAATAATGCCTAAAGCTGCTGGAACGAGTCTGTTTATAACTCTTAAAATAACATACAATAAAGAAATGAAAAGGAATGGAAACAATTGAATAACATTTGTTCCCCCCCCCTTCAATTAAATGAGTACACAAACCAGTTCATAAGTAATTGTAATTTTATGTGGGAAAGATCTTGAGGAGCCTTCAGTACTCTGAATTTAGTTGGTTTCTTTCAGACGATTCATTACCCAAACTAGGTAAAACCATCAATGCTAGTACATCACTAGCAGTGATTATGTTACCTAGTTGGGTAATGAAATGTCTGCAGGAAAACATCCAAGCTCAGAGAGCACCAAGGACCCCTAATTTCAACCCTAAGCTACAAATATTCTCCATTAAAGATGTTGGGATTCTTTTAATTCTGGTCAAGTAAACTTACCAGAAAGTAAACAAAATAGAATTAGCTCACCTGGTTGGATTTACCCATTAAGTCTGACAGTAATTAAGATCTACCTGTGAGGAAGTACAGGTGAAAAGATCTTCCCTGTCTACCCAATGCTGCATCTCAGAGAGCAGAAGTTACAAACTCCAATTGTCTCGAACATTTGACCCAGTGGTGGGTTTCAAAATTTTTTACAACCGGTTCTGTGGGTGTGGCTTGGTGGACGTGGCAGGGGAAGGATACTGTAAAATCTCCATAACCTCCCCAATCCAGGGGAAGGTTACTGCAAAATCCCCATTTCCTCCCGATCAGCTGGAACTTGGGAGGCAGAGAATAGATGGGGGCAGGGCCAGTCAGAATTTTTACTACCGGTTCTGTGGGTGTGGCTTGGTGGGCGTGGCACGGCTTGGTGGGTGTGGCATGGTGGGCGTGGCAGGGGAAGGTTTCTACAAAATCCCCATTTCCTCCCGATCAGCTGGGACTCAGGAGGCAGAGAATAGATGGGGGCGGGGCCAGTCAGAATTTTTACTACTGGTTCTCCGAACTACTCAAAGTTTCCGCTACCGGTTCTCCAGAACTGGTCAGAACCTGCTGAAACCCACCTCTGATTTGACCAAATATGTAAGAATGATTTATAGTCCAAATCCGATCAACCCCCTCAGCCACTTTTCCGTATCTTTTGTCTTATTAGCCACCAGTAACAGGTGAACAGACTCCACAATCCGAGTCTAGACCTGGACAGGAGGAGCATCAGGATGATGGTGAAAGACACAGAGATGAGAATCAACACCATCATCACCACTCTCATCTCCACCACCACAAACATCATGGACAGGATCAGGAAGACCAGAAGCCACACCAGCCTCACCCCACAGCTGGCATCCAGGAGACACCATCAAAGCAAAAGAAACCAGTGGGCGAGGTGATCATCCATCCTTCTTCGAGCAAAAATCCATTTCTGGAAATGCAGGAACCCAATTTAACCTCTGGCCCCACACTTGCTTCTCCAGAACAAGAAGGTGGGCCTCATTCAGCCAAGCCAGCCCAGCCAACTATTCCTCCCTTCCCCAGAGGGTTTTCCAAATCAGCCCAATGTCCAGGAGACACTGCAGTAGAAATCCCTGGCCTTCAACTGCCTTCACGGCCACAGGCTGAAACCTCCTAAACGAAGAGTGATGTACGACACTGATAGCTTTAATTCAGAGGAAACAGAGCAAAAACCCTCTGGATGAGCAGGAAACCAAAGGAAGGGAAAACATTCTAGAGCTCTTTCATTATCAAAAAGTATCTGGAAAATGTGGATGTAGACAGAACTGATATATGTGAGCATATTAGAGCATCCTTCTGATATGGAAGTAAATAAATCTTGGTAATTAAGCTTCCTTAATTCCTGTGAACTTTGGTTTAAGTTAGACGCATAAATGACAGTCAGATTATTATTCATTCATTCTCCTATATTTCTGTAATTATGGAATTGGACAAGAGGGGTGGGGGGACAGAGAGAGAAGGACAGAGAGAGAGAGAGAGAGAAAGAGACAGAGAGAGAAAGACAGAGAGAGACAGAGACAGAGAGAAAGAGAAACGGAGAGAGAGAAAGGGAGGGGGGAGAGAGAAAGGGACAGAGAAAAGACAGAGAGAGAAAAAGAGGGGGAGGGAGGGGGAGAGAGAGAAAGGGACAGAGAGAGAGACACAGAGACACAGAGAGAAAGACAGAGAGAAAGAGAAAGAGAGAGAAAGAGAAAGGGAGAGAGAGAAAGAGAAAGAGACATAGAGAGAAAGACAGAGAGAGAGAGAGAGAGAATATTCAGAATCAGTATTTCTTTTTGAAACAGAACTCACATTAAAACTGGAATTGTTCCTGAAAACCTACTACCCTGTTGCGCTTTTCCAGAGCAAAGTTTTTCATTTTTCCATGAAAGAAGTGGCGTGATGTAAGGGATTGAGTGGCAGCAAACACTGCAATTGGCATAACTGAAAGGCTTTTCAAACATTCCTGCAAAACATTCAAAGCCCTTTTGTGACATCTTGTGTATTTAAAAAGGATCACGTGTAAAGTTCAACAAATTCTGTTGCATTTATAGATCTTTATTCCAGTGATGGGTTGCTACCGGTTCAGCCCGGATCAGGTGAACCGGTAGCGGCAGTGGTGGGAGGCTCTGCCCACCCGCCTGGATGTCTCTGCGCATGCGCACGAGTGAACTAGTAGTGGATTTGAAACCCACTACTGCTTTATTCCCAACAGAAGACAATCTTCTCCTGTGCCTAAAGACTATCATAAGAGTTTTCACCTTCCCTCCCTCCCTCCTTCCTTCCTTCCTTCTTTCCTCCCCTCTTTCCTCCCTCATAGACGGAAGGAGGGAGGGAGCAAGGAAGCGAGGGAGGAAGGAAGGAAATTGCATTGATTTAAACTTTGGATCTTCTGCACCAATGCAGAAGATTGGGGCTTGGCTGTGCTCTGATTGGATGGGGGGTTACAGAGCACAGCCAAGCCCCTAACCAATCAGAACACACCTCCACCCAATCAGAACACAGCCAAGTTCCCACCCAATCAGCTCACACCCCCACTAGCAGTTAAAAGGAAGAGACAGCTGCGATCTCACATTGCTCCTGGAAGCACGAAGCTGAGAACACCAGCCTGAAGATGACGAATGAGACTTCGTCGAAACGTCGCCAAGACACTTCCAATTTTACGTGGGAGAAGACCCGAATAACCAAAGACCTACATACAAACACCCGCGAAAACCTGAGAAAACACACACACACACACACACACACACACACACACACACATATATATATACACACATTCTCAACTTCCTTATGAATATTACCTATTTTTGTTTTTCCCAAACCGCATAATATTCCGAATTGTCTTTTTCTTTTAATTCTAAAGTTAGTTTATTCATTTCAGCACATTCAAACATTTTCTGAATAACCAATCCCTCTGGTGGTAAGTTATGTTCCTTCCAATATTGCGTGAACGCAATTCTTGCTGCTGTTAGTATATGTAGGATCAGATATCTTATTTTTTTATCAAATTTAGTTTTTAACTAAATGATTCCATAGGTAGCTGCTGCACCATATGTGATTGTCTTTTTAGTTTACTGATGTTATCTTAACCAATGGTGCTGTCCTGATTACAGGAAGTCATCGGTTTTATGACTGTAATTGAACCTGCAATTACAGCTGACATACATGATAATCATCACATGACTGTGCCTGATTTTTATGACCTTCTTTCAATGGTTGTTCACTGAAACCCTAAGATGTAACCAAGCTGGGTAATGAAACATCTGTAAGAAAACAAGTCAAGCTGCAAGAAAGGAGAGGGAGTCAAGCTATTCTCCAAAGCACCTGAGGGCAGGACAAGAAGCAATGGGTGGAAATAATCAAGGAGAGAAGCAACCTAGAACTAAGGAGAAACTTCCTGACAGTTGGAACAATTAATCAGTGGAACAACTTGTCTGCAGGATTTGTGAATGCTCCAACACTGGAAGTTTTTAAGAAGATGTTGGATAACCATTTGTCTGAAGTGGTGTAGGGTTTCCTGCGTAAGCAGGGGGTTGGACTAGAAGACCTCCAAGGTCCCTTCCAACTCTGTTATTAAAAAAAATATAAGAAGAAGTTCAGAGAGCACCAAGAACTCCATAGTTGAATCCAGAGCTACAAATAATAGCTCTTTTTTAAAAAAAGGCCCAGGTTTGGTCTTTATATAACCTTGCAGATTTCAGTCTCACTATTTCTTGCTGTTTGCAGTTTCAGATCTCTGCTTCCTACTGCATAAGGACTTCTTCTCAGCTCTGCCATGCTTCAAAGTCCCATTACTTTCACAATGGCATGTAAGGCTCAAATGAATTCACTCCAAAATTTTGGCGTCCCGGGTATGTTTTTCAAAAAAGCGTGCATTTTCCTCAGAACCTTGCCCCTTGCTGCAGTCTTTTAGGATATTATGAGATCCTCAAGCAGATTGTTGAGCAACTGCACAGAATGCCTTCTCTCAGAAAACAATAAAACAGTTGAAAACATCTTGCTCTATGTCTCCTTCCTTCCTTCTTTCCTTCCTACCTTCCTTCCTCATGGATGAGATTCAGATCTTTTGATTATGTTAAATTCTGCTTCATTATTAAATCAGTGAGTCCTCAACCTATTGCTAGTCATTGTGATCTTTTGAAGTTAGGCTGGATCTACCTGGATGGGGAGAAACAGCCTCCGACTCAACCCTTCCAAGACCGAGTGGCTGTGGCTGCTGGCATCCTGATATAGCCAGCTGATACCATCACTGACTATTGGGGGCGAGTCATTGGCTCCCACGGAGAGGGCTCGCAACTTAGGTGTCCTCCTGGACACGCGGCTGTCTTTAGAAGAGCATATGACAGCTGTGGCCAGGGGAGCTTTCTATCAGGTTCGCCTGATTCACCAGTTGCGACCCTTTCTAGATCGGGACTCCTTATGCAGAGTCACTCATGCCCTCATCACTTCCCGTTTGGACTATTGTAATGCTCTCTACATGGGGCTCCCCTTGAGGTACACACGGAGGCTCCAACTGGTCCAGAATGCAGCTGCGCGGGTGATATTGGGAGCGACATGGCGCTCACATGTAACACCTCTCCTACGCGAGCTGCACTGGCTCCCGGTGGTCTTCCGAGTGCACTTCAAGGTGTTGGTTCTTACCTTTAAAGTGCTCCATGGCTTAGGACCTGGGTACTTACAAGACCACCTTCTGCAACCAATAACCTCCCACCAACCAGCATACTCCCACAGGGTGGGCCTCCTCAGGATGCCATCACTAAAGCAATGTCGACTGGTGGTTCCCAGAGAAAGAGCCTTTTCTGTGGGGGCACCTACCCTTTGGAACAGGTTACCCCCAGGGATACGAATGATCCCAGATCTTCATGCACTTAAGACCTTTCTATTTCACCAAGCCAGGCTGGCATAAATCTCTTCTAATTGTTCTAAATCTTTATGCTGAAGATTCTTAACCAATGAACCAAATTGGCTTAATCATCTTATATTCACATTTTATATGTATGTCCTTCGGGAGAAGGGCGGTATAAAAATTAATTAAATAAATAAATAAATAAATAAACAAACAAATAAATAAATAAATAATAAATTTATGACCAGATTCAAAGTTCCGATGGTCATTTCCCCGCTCCCCCAGGTCTTGTGATCAAACTTTTGGCACTTGTCAACCAAGCCACTTTTACGGCCATTTCCAGCATACTGTGGTCATGTGATCATCTTTTACAATGATTTTGCCCCTCAAAAAAGGACATTTACTTCCAGTTTTCAGCAAAACCACACTGATAGGGTACCATTGGTTCACTTAGTGACCTGATTCTGATTCCTCAAACATTTTGAAAATGTTTGCAAGCCAGCATTAAGAGGGAAAAAAATTAAAAATTATATACAGGCAATAGCAAACTATTCTGAACTTCTTGTCAATGAAACTACATGGATGGGTCCATGAGATTGCCAACAGTTGAATTTGAATTTGCCTCCAAAAAGATAAGATTCATAGCCACACTTCCCTGATTTTAAGAATACTCCCATCTGATCTTACCAGAGACATTTAATAAAGAATTGCAATATTTAATTGTGAATGTTTTAATAGCAGCTAGAATTGTATTTGCCAAAAGTTGGAAAGGAGAGAAGATACCTACTGATGAAGAAATTATTAAGAAAATGTTGGATTGTGCTAAAATGAGTAAATTGACATTTGAAATAAGAGAACAGGAAGATAAACAATATTATTTAATATGGGGTTTATTTTATCAATGGATAGATAATAAAACATGGAGATGAAATATGATATATGAAATGAAATTAAGAATAAAATGTGTAAAAATTTGTTTTTTTCTTAGTGGAAAAGAAACATGTGTCATATATTGATATCTTGAAGAGTTTGTGAGCACGAAAAGATTTTAACCGACCGAAACACTGTCTGTAATTGTTTGAAAGGATGATGCTTTTATGTTGTTTTTTGTTTGAAAAATAAAAAAAAAACTTTGGGGAAAAAAAGAATACTCCCATCTGAAGTATCAATATTTTACCTCCCAGACTTTAAGCCCCTGTGGGTAAATATTAAGACTTATTGTCTAATTTTTTTTTTAGTTGCTTAAGGTTAGGAGTTTATCATTTAAACAAATGCTTTGCATTTGTATTCTTCTACTAAAACCCTCCCTAAAGCAAACACGGATATTTCAGTCTGGGTGCACATTAACAATAAAGTATTCCCTAGAAGTGGTTCTCTACAATACCTGATGATTACTTAAGGTGTTGTATTGATTGATTGGACTTTGCTTCCGAGAACTCTTAACGGGGTTGACTAAGGGTCACATCCTGCAGGCAATAAGATCTTCCGTAACTCAGCTATG